GCTGAGGTTGAGGAACCCTGCCCTAAAGGATGATGGCTGGAGTTGAGTGGGTGGGAAAGTACAGATAGCAGCTGCATTTTGTAATCTGTTCTTAGGGCTGAATCCTGGCCTGCTGAGAAAACAGACGTTTGGGTTTCCATGCTGTGTCCAGCCATCTCAGATTGTTCCTTCTAAACTGGTTTCCTCTTCGTTGACAAACCATAGAGTGCCTTTGTGTCTGAATGTGAAATACTATGATTTTGCTCTTGGTGCAGAACAGTTTGTTCTTGTTTGGGACAAATGATTGCTTGAGTCCTATTCAAGGGGAGGAAGTCCATGCGGACAGGGAAGGAAGGGGGCAGAGAGACAAATAGATGCAACCCATAGCCAGAATCTCTTCTTCGCGTGTATGCTAAAAGCTAAAGGATGTTTTACCCCCACATCTAAATACTGCAAGGTTATCCTCTTTTTGTACCCCTTTTGTTCCTGTTCCCTAACAAAGTGTCTGCATTTCTCCCTGCTCTCCCCCAAACTGGCTCTGAAGGAGAATGGTTTCCATAGCAATGGACCAGCCTGGTTTTCTCCTCCATTCCAGCGTCTCTGCGCTGCAGGTCCCCTTGCCCCTCCATCTGTCACGTGCCCCCTTGTTTCTCTCTCTTCCAGTCTGTACCGTGCGATGCCAAAAGTTCCTCATCTCCAAAGTGGGCGAAGACTGGATCTTCCTCATTCTGTTGGGTCTGCTGATGGCCTTGGTAAGCTGGGCCATGGACTTTGCCATAGCGACGTGCCTGCAAGGTAAGAAGATTACAGATCAGGGTGAATCTGAGGCTCATGACATCTAAGAGGAGGCCTCATTGATTGATTGATTGATTGATTGATTGATTGATTGATTTATATAGCCTGAATTTGAGGCTCATGACATCTAAGAGGAGGCCTCATTTATTGATTGATTGACTGGATTGATTTATATAGCCCAAATTTGAGGCTCATGACATCTAAGAGGAGGCCTCATTTATTGATTGATTGACTGGATTGATCTATATAGCCCAAACTTGAGGCTCATGACATCTAAGAGGGGGCCTCGACTGATTGATTGATTGGATTGATTTATATAGCCTGAATTTGAGGTTCATGACATCTAAGAGGAGGCCTCATTTATTGATTGATTGACTGGATTGATTTATATAGCCCAAATTTGAGGCTCATGACATCTAAGAGGGGGCCTCGACTGATTGATTGACTGGATTGATTTATATAGCCCAAATTTGAGGCTCATGACATCTAAGAGGGGGCCTCGAC